TAGCCGTGGGGAGTGCTTCAACACCAACGAAATAACTAAGAGAGCCAAGATCCTTAAGTGAGAACCGTTGGGCAAGAGTGCTAATGAACTTGTCAAGTAGTGATGGCAAGTTTCCTGTGATAAGAATATCATCAACATAGACAAGTAGAAACATAGTGAGTGGGCCGTTAGTGTGAATAAACAATTATGCATCTGAATGGGAATTAGTAAACCCATTGTTAAGAAGAAATCCTCGTAATTCCTAGAACCAGGCCCGTGGTGCCTGATGAAGACCATACAGGGCCTTATGAAGTTTACACACATGATTGGGACGTTGAGCATCGACAAATCCTGGAGGCTATTGAATATAAACATCATCAGTTAGAGAACCTTGTAAAAATGCATTATTAACATCAAGTTGACGAATCGGCCAATTATGATTGACAGCAATAGTAAGGATAATGCGAATTGTGGTTGGCTTGATAACAGGGCTAAATGTATCATTAAAATCAATGCCTGGGCATTGAAGGAATCCTTTAGCAACAAAACGAGCCTTATAACGGGAGATAATACCATCCGGGTTTCGTTTAATCTTATAAATCCACTTACAATCAAAAACATTTTGTGAGGGGTGAGGGGAGACGAGGGACCAGGTGGCATTGTGGACAAGTGCATCAAATTCTTCACACATAGCTTGACGCCAATGGGCAGATTTTTAGGCTTGGTTGAAGGTAGCAGGCTCGGTTGTATCAAAGTTGGTGGTGCTAGTGAGACAATATTTTTTATTTGGTTTAAAGATTTGGTTCTGTGATCGGGTACGCATAGAATGAAGGGTAGGGGTGGGTTTAGGCAAGGCATGGGTAGGGGTAGGTGTGAGGTTAGACAAGGTAGGTGTAGGTGGTGTAGAGGTGCTGGAGGTACTAACCTGAATGTTGTTGTGTAATGGCGAGACGTTGGGCACGTATACATCAGTCAGAGGGCAGTTGAGAGGCTGTGTGGAAGTGGTCGTAGGCGGACAGGACGCAAGGGAACATGAACCATGACTGGAAGTGGGCATCAAGGAGACATTGGGTGGACTGGTGACAGAATAATGAGGAGGAGTGTCAAGGAGAGCCCATTGAGTGATAGTATTTTGTTGAACAAGAGCAGAAGAATTTGTCTTGTCATGAAACGGAAAGGAACTTTCAACAAAAATGACATGTCGTGACACAAAAATTCTATTGGTTTGTGGATCAAGACAACGATAAGCATTGTGTTCGAGGAATAACCAATAAAGATGCAGGGACGAGATCGGGGTTCTAATTTGTGAGTGGTATATGGACGCAACCATGGGTAACATAGGCAACCGAAGACCTGGAGTTGTTGAAAAGGGGATTGATTTTGGAGGATGGGTGTGGGAAGGACAATTTGTTATTTTTAAACTCTAGGGGGTATTTTGTTAGAAGGCCAATAGTTCAAAGGGACAAGTATAATTTGTCCATAGTTTTATGTGCACTGCTATAATTATAATAATTCACTCCGAATTAAAATGTGCTATGAACAATATTATTATTGGGAATTTAATAGGCATATATGTTAAATATCAATCTATAATGGAATGAACACTCATTTTATTGACTAACTTGAAGTCCATGAACTCCCTCTCTATTTTTGGTCAACCCATTGAGCCAAAAAAACCTCTCTAACACAATTTATAAAGCACAATAGACCTACTAAATATAAGCCCATATATGGTTAAAGGAGAATACATTATATATATATATATATATGTGTGTGTGTGTGTGTGTGTGTGTATGGGTGTTGAGGTTAATGAGTGTGTGTGTCACCATTTTGTGTGTTAAGGTATTGTATGTGGGGAGAGGCTATTAAACTGGAGAGTTCATTACTCTCAAGCTTGTTTTACTGGCGAGTTTCATTATTTTTGATATGTCTTAAACATTAAATATGATTAATTAATTTTTTAACAGAAATGTATTTTTAATGTGTCTTAGACACTAAATATGATTGATTAATTTTTGAACAGAAAGATTTTCTGATGTGAAAACATGAAATCTTAAAAGAAAGGTTATAAAGTGGTCCATTGATCATTGCTAATCTGTTGTTGATCATTGCTAATCTGTCTCATTTAAGGAAAATTCTAGTTTATAAAGTGGTCCATTGGTAAAATTATCCTCTACATGCTCTCTTTCTCTCTGTTTTTTTTTTTTTTTTTTTGGGTAGAATGTCTGTAAATATGGTGGAAAGAAGTTAAAAAAATTGGCATTCTCTAGTTGATGAGACCAGAAGTGTCCAAAAACATTATTATGACTGGGTGTTGTTACTTGTTATTGACCGTTACAGTTGCAAACACTAGCCGAAGGGCAAGGTCCAGATTAAACGACCAATCCCTGTGTGAGGAAATGGCGGGTCAAAAACGACAACAAAAATGTGTCAAGTTAAGATTACAAGATCAAAGTACCGAGTGATTGTGAAGGAGACACGTAGAGAAGCAACTTCTACACATGACTTTCACGGTGGAAACGCGTTCAACATCTCTATGAGATCTATTCTCAATATTTGCCCAAACTGACAAACGAAAACCACTCGATAAACACACATGAGACAAATAGGCATGGGAATACACTTATTTGGAATTTTTCTTGGCCACGTGTCAGTAAAAAAGAAAAAAAATATTGTCATATAGTATATCTAGTTTTAATGTGTAAATAGTGATAAATAAAAGTGCTTTTTTTTTTTTAATGGAACAAAAGTGTTTTTTGAGATAAGATAAACGATGTTAAGATCCTAACTCTCATTTTAAGTATGGATTTATGTAAGAAATAAGATGTCTCTTTATCAAAAAGAAAAAGAAAAGAAAAAAGTTGTGTTCCTTTTATTGATAATTTTTTAATGTATTATTATCATTTTAATTAATATTAAAAAGTTTTGACCCACTAACAAATCATGTGTCATTAATCAATATTAAGATATTGTAACAATAAATAGATCTAAGATTCTATAATATTACTCGAGATAATATTGATTGAACTTTTTTTCCGTGACTAACTAGTAGCTTTGCAACAACTCACCAATATTATCAACCTATAGAATTCCTGGTTGACAAAATTGTCATCCGTACCCTCATTTTCAATCCTTTTTGTTTTCCCCACCATCTACAAGTCGTGTTAAATGCATATAATGAGTAGGAAGACTTGTTGTATATCTAACATGTGAAACCCAAGGATACCAAAACCACCTTCCAACTTCATCTTTGGTCCCCCAAAGTATTAAACAAACACATCATTTAACAAATATTGCATTATTTGAATATTTATTATTGCATTATAAAATTATTAAGGTCCCTCAATAGTGGATACACTTTTTATTTAAATAAGAAAATGGTGGATAAGCATAAACTTGAGGGATAACTTCTAATGCCACAATGGGGAAAGAAGTGACAAAAAACATTGGTGAGTAAAATAAAGCTACTTTGATTTCTCTTTTTGGCTTCATCAACTTATAGACAAAGTTCACTAGATTGATATGTGATTGATTTCATAATTAGCAGCAAAATAGTGAGATAAACATAAAAAAATTGTTATTATTATCATTATTGCATAGATAGTATTATTCTTTGTACCTTTAGTTATGTCACTAACTATAAATTTCAGTATGAAAATTAGATTGATCACGCTAATTTTTTTGGTATGAAAATTAGTATGCATAGATAGTATTATTTTTTGTACTTTTAATTAATTGTGTCACTAATTATAAGCTTCAGTATAGAAATTAGATTGATCACGTTAATCTCTTTTCTCTTTATTTTTCTCCCAAATTTGACTCCAATTATTTCTATTGAATCTTAAGATGAAACCCACCTTTTTTTAATGTATTTTGGGATCTTAAGTCGGCCACTAATAAATCCAACTGACTAATTAATTAACCCACTTACGCAAGCAACCTCAGTGTATTACCAAGCAATGGCACTAACAAAAGACTAAGATGCTTTATCATTAGCCTTTTCAACGATAACAACCCCTACTTTTTTTTATTTTCAAAACCCCAACACAACAATTAACTTTAAAAAATAAAAAAATAAAACACTTGGTCTTAAAAGAAACCGTAATTCAATTAAATTCAAAGTTTTCTTTTTTGTTTCTTAGTCCTTCCTACCATTATTGAAAACCATTAGAAAATTAAAAAATTTCTCAAATAGTTTCTGTTTCGACTGTTAAATTTAATTAAAATTATATCAAATTAAAAAATATATAAAATAGATAAATTTTAATATAAATTAAACGATTAAAAAGTATAAAACGCTGATAAGTTTATTTTTACGCGACTGCTAAAATTATTCTCTACCTTAATTACATATTTGTCCTTGTGATATAATATTCAAAGCTTGATTATGTAGGCCTCTCTTCTTAAGAATAATAATACGCGTCAAGCTGAAGCACAAAGCTAGCTTATCGGTTCTTTTTAGTACCCATCACTATGTTAAAAGAAAAGAAAATCCAAAATTAAGAATTTCCAACTCAGAACTTTTATCAAATATCGCATCCGCGTTTAAAATCTCAACAATAATACTGATATTTCAAATTATTTATTAAAATTTTGCTGGATTTAATAATATAAAATTTTAAAAAATTTTGTGGTAGAATTATACTTTCTAAGTGGTAATTCTAAACCGTCAAATTAAATTATAATCATATAAAATCAAAAGAAAAGGGTATTTTATTAGTACAATATTGTTAAAATCATATTATTTTACATAAAAATTAATCATGTTACAAAACTTTAAAATTATATTTTTTAGCAACTTTAATAATACATATGATTATATTAATAATTAAAATTAATTAACTAAGAAAATATATTTTTGAATCGTCAATTTATCCAAATTCTCTTGTTTTTCTCAGACGCCACGAGATCCACGTGCCGGGCACGGAACAACAGGAAGTCTCCATGAACACGTGTCGGTAACCTAGAGCGGTGGTACCTGCTACCGCCGGTCAGAATCCCCTTATATATAGCCACCTTTCTATCAATTTCGCGCACATCAAAGAAGTTGTTTCCTTGGCAAGCAGATTTCAGAGCTAGAGAGAGAAAATCCCAAATCAAGAGAGTGAAAGGAGCGAGAAGCAAACCCTAATTTCAATTTTTCGATTCTTCTGAATTTTGAGAGAGAGAAAAAAAAAAAACCCTTGATTTCTGAATTTTGATCATGATTGTTAAGCAAAACATGGTGACGGAGTCGGAAATCATATGCAAGCACCAGGGCATGTCGGTGATGGAGATGAATTACCATCTGCGCGTCACCGGCGCCCAAGAACGCAGCCTCCAGAAGACTGAATTGTCCTCGTCGCCGCCGCCTCCCGCCGCCGCTGTCGTAGTTGCCGGAGAGGTTAGGGTGGATGCGATCTCCTCGCGCTTCGAATCGGTACGTGTTCTTGGCTTTCTTGATGCCTTTGGTTTGTGGAAAAATTTGTTTTTTCTGGTTTTGGTTTTGGTGGATTGGATTTTGCTTGTGTATTTCGTGGTTGTCAGCTTTGTTGATTTCTCTTATGTGCTTTCTTTACGAGATTTGGCTGAAGATTGTGTTTTTCCGGGTTTCGCATGCAATATTAGGTGAAATTCGTAGCGGTTTAGATGAATATATTTTGGTGTGTTGTATAAATGAATTTGAATGAAAAAATTTTGGGGAGTGTAGGGTTTCGAATTCTTTATGTGATTGAAGGACTGTAAGTTCTTCGTAGTTTACATGTTCGCGAAGAAATCTGTGAAAATAAATTGATAAAGTTCTGATATTTTGGTTGTTTTTTCTCCAATAAGCTGCATCTTTTTTTCCCTTTTGTGTTAATAATTTTTTTAGTTTCTTTTTTTATTTTTTATTTTTTTGGGCTTAAACTATTTTGTTTAGATTGATAGGAGTTTTAGTGTATTTGATGAATTTTCTTTCCCATGTTAATATTATTATGCGATCCTTGTTTTCCCCTAGTTTCTAAGCGCGAGATCAGATTTTTAAATTGTCTCTTTGATATGGCTGGAATATATCAGTCTTGTTTGATAATCTTAGGTTAATTTTGGTTAGATTTTCTGGTCAATTTCAGTTTTTTTTTTTAATTAATAGGGTTCCATTATTTTATTTTCTATTGTGGTTTCATAAGTTGGAGGGTTTTTTTTTTTTTTTTTTTTTTTCCCCTTTGTCCAAGTATGTACTCCATAATGCTATTGCTCCCTACATCTACGGATTTCCAATTTTTAAGGTTCTTTATAATACAACATCTGAACATCATTTGAAGTTTCCATTTATTTGTTGGCGTTGTTCAAAATATGCTGTTTGTTTTTAGTACCTGGATTCTGATGCACCTGAGAATTCGTCTTACCTGCTTTGGCTTTTTTTTTTTTTTTTTTTTTTTTTTTTCGGTTTTTTTCTCAGACGCCATTCAAGATGCTGTCATTGATTCTCCCACAGCCAAATTTGTTCCAAATATTCGTTCAGGAAGTCATACTGACATTGGACAAAGACGTTCCATGGAGGATGAACACATCCGAATAGACGATCTATCTGCCCACCTGGGGTCTGATTTCAAGTGTCTGATGCCAAGTGCATTTTATGGGGTTTTTGATGGCCATGGGGGTCCGGAAGCAGCAGCTTACATCAAGAGGAATGCTATGAGATTATTTTTTCAAGATTGTGATTTTCCACAAACGTCGGAGATTGACTCTGTTTTCTTGGACGAGTTGGAGAATTCTCACCGGAAAGCATTTCTACTGGCCGACCTCGCTTTGGCAGATGAAGCTAGTGTGAGCAGCTCGTGTGGGACGACGGCATTGACTGTCTTATTGCTTGGAAGGCACTTGCTCGTCGCGAATGCAGGTGACTGTCGAGCAGTCCTCTGTAGGAAAGGTGTAGCACTCAACATGTCTCAAGATCACAGGCCTACTTATTTGCCTGAACGCCGGCGAGTTGAAGAATTGGGCGGTTATTTCGATGATGGTTACCTCAATGGTCACCTCTCAGTCACGCGAGCTCTTGGTGACTGGGACTTGAAGTTCCCACTTGGGTCCTCGTCGCCACTCATTGCTGAGCCTGATGTTCAGCAGGTCCTATTAACAGAAGATGATGAGTTCTTGATTATTGGCTGTGATGGAATATGGGACGTTATGTCAAGCCAATACGCAGTAAGCCTTGTTCGCCGTGAGCTGAGGAGGCACGATGACCCACAGCAGTGTGCCAGAGACCTTGTTCGAGAAGCATTGCGCCTAAACACGTCAGACAATCTCACTGTGATAGTCATTTGCTTCTCTTCGCCTTCGCGAGTTTTTGACCCGTCTTCTCGGCAGCGACCAAGGTTGAGAGCATGCAGTCTACCTGAGGAGACCCTGAGTAGGTTGCAAAGCCTGCTAAATTAAGTGTGAATACATTTATTATCGGTCATCTACTGATTTTTTTATGCGAGAAACATTAGGTCTGTTTGTGGCTGTTTCAGATTATATTAAGAGAGAAAAAACGGCCAGCAGTTTTGTTTAGGGTAGAAGAAAATTCTAGGATTTTCCAGTCTCGGGGATGGGATGATGATGCTATTTGTAGACATGTTAATCATTTTTCACCGAATAGATTGTTTATTCAGTGGGGATGGCCCACCATATCTAATTCATTCTCCATAGTTTTTTGCCTTTTCATTTTGTGTTTATCCATTTCTTTACTCATCTGTCTTAAGTGAAGTTCTTTTAGTTTGAGATTGTTGTGCTTCGTCAGAAGTTACCAAACAGAGATTAAACGTTTGATAAACTTTTGAAGTGATTGTGCAAGTTTTTATTTTATTTATTTATTTATTTTTTAGAATAATAATTGTGGAAGTCCGTGTATGTATTTTTGGTAAAAATCCTGTGTTACGTGCAAAATAATAATAATAATGAATACTCAAAATAAAATAGGGAAAATTTCATTTTGGTATTCATTGTATTAAAATTTGAGTTTGGTACTTTATTTTTGAAAATTTTATACTGGTAACTTGATTTTTTAGAAAAAAAAAATTTTAATATCTTAAAATTATTTTTGAAAACACGAAAAGATAAAATTATTTTTATTGTAAATATTCATCTATTGACCAAAAATTTAAAGAAAAAAATGGGATTTTAAAAAGAGATTTTGAAGAGAATAATTTTTGAGAATAATTTTTAAAAAAGAATTATGCTCCAGGTATAATAATTTTTAAAATTGATTAGAATTTTAAAGAAAAAAAGATTTTAAAAAGGGATTTTGAAGAGGAATTTTTTAAAAAAGATTATACTCTACATGTATAATAATTTTTAAAATTTTTTGTTTTATTGTGAATTTTTAGAATAAGAGTAATTTTGTCCTTTTGTATTCTAAACAATAGCTTTGAAGTATTAATTTTTTTTTAAAGTCGATGTACCGTTATGTAATTTTAAAAAATAAATGGTACTAAACTCAAATTTTAATAGAAGAGAATGTATCAAAATGAAAATTTTCTAATAAAATAAGTAAATAAAACTAAATCGACTCATAAGTTTGCTTCAATGTGTCTGTAAAAGTTTATCAGCAGCATTTTCTTAGCTTAAGCGTCTCCATTATGATAATTGTGTCTGCGAAAGTGCATTAGCTCCATAATTTTGTTTTTGCAAATTGCAATTTTATCGTTTTCTTTTGCCACCTATCGTAATATTAAATGAATATAACTAATTTGATGAATCATTTGGAATATTTATTATTGTAATGAGTTTGTTGTGCCTGAGAAATTGTATCAGTAGCACCATTGGAAGAACTAAGAGGGCAGTTTTCTCAAGCTGAAGCTTGTCTGACTATGGAGTTTAATTTCATTTTCTTTTTGTTTGAGTTATGCGAATTTGGCGTGCAAGAAAACGACAACAATATTTCGGATTTAAACTGAAAAAGTAAACGACAACAAACCTCATCATGAATAGCTTGGGGACAATTGCCCCTCCACCAAACATCCCCAATCGTGTAAACCACCAAACGGTGTTGCTAGTGTGTGTAAGGCCACAATTTTCTAGGATTCTCATTTTAATATATCTCTTCTAGAATAATATTACTACAATATTTAAATTTAATTTTTTTTTGGAAATTATCTTCTACTTCTACCTATATTCTAACTTCTGGTCTCTAGCATGACTTGGGATATATTGATCATTTGTTGAATACAAAATAATATTTTATTGGTATTGTATTATTTTCAACAGTTCAGTTTTATTCAATATCGCTACGGTAACCACAAAATATTTCCTTCTGTTCCAGTGTAAAAAAAAAAAAATTATTTTTTGTTCATAAGGACCAAACCTCTTCGGACCTTCTCCAACAGACTTTTTATGATGTTCTCCTATCAACGGTTCAGATTGATTGAGAAATTCCAAAACAAGAGGAGAAATCAGTTTTTGCTTTCCTTAACGAAAAATCGGAGCTGTTCGGCTGGCCCACTAACAAAGAGAACAATTAATCAAATTGAAAAAAGTTTCTCATCCAACGGTGTTATCAATCTTATCTACGTCAAAAGTAGAAGACCACGCAATAATTCCTAAACCAACACACACCAGATTGCAAAAAAATATTTTATTAAAAAAATTTCGATCGGTAACGCAGTCTTTCAGCCTCGGTAGGTCTTAAAAAAGGATTTAGAGAGAGAGAGAGAGAGAGAAGGTTTTTGATCGAAGAAAGAATCAGCAATGGCGTTGGCAAGCTTGGCGAGGCGAAAGGTTTACAATGTTTCTAGAAGCTTCTACTCGGCGTCCCTGACCTCCTTCTCGAGGGGATTCGCCTCGGCGGGATCTGACGAAAACGACGTCGTGGTGGTCGGCGGCGGTCCCGGCGGCTACGTGGCGGCGATAAAGGCGGCTCAGCTAGGGCTCAAGACCACCTGCATCGAGAAGCGCGGCACTCTAGGCGGTACTTGCCTCAACGTCGGCTGCATCCCTTCCAAGGTCACCCCTTTTTTCGATTATTGATTGATTTTTGACACAGTTATTGATTTGTCTTTATTTTTTGCATTTGATTTTAGTTTTGGTGACCCCTCAGATCTATTTGGGAAAATAAATTTCGTTTCTTTTCGTATTTTGCAAATTAATTTTTTTTCCCGTTTAGTATTGGGCATTTGAGAAGCTGGAAACAGGAAAAAAGAAAATAATAATAATATTTTAATTTTATTTCCTCGATAGCACCCAATGAATTAGAAGGCTTTGTAAAACTTATTCTTGAAAATTATAACACATTTGTACTTTATGTGGCTGTTTCTTTAACATTTTGCCCAAAAAAGAGTGTAAAAATATAGGACAAAATTGTATGAGAATACTAATAGTAATTCATGGATAAACCGCCCTAAAAACCAAGAAAGAAAAGTATACTCTTTTTTTTTTTTTCATATCTTGATTCTGCGAGAAACCAATTGAGTTAGAAGAGTGTGTAAAGGTTAGAGCTTTGTCTACAAGTAGACGACTGTATAGCTACATGATTTGGATTAGTGAGTATTGCATATAAATTTAATCATTTTGTTTGGCTCTTTTCTTATTTCAGGCACTTCTTCATTCCTCCCACATGTACCATGAAGCTAAGCATTCGTTTGCCAACCATGGAGTGAAGTTTTCATCCGTTGAAGTTGATTTACCTGCCATGATGGCCCAAAAGGACAAAGCTGTTTCGAATCTTACCCGTGGTATTGAAGGCTTATTCAAGAAGAACAAGGTGAACTACGTGAAAGGCTATGGAAAGCTCGTCTCCCCCTCAGAAGTTTCTGTCGACACCATTGATGGGGGGAACACAGTTGTGAAAGGCAAGAACATCATAATCGCTACTGGGTCTGATGTGAAATCCTTGCCTGGGATCACCATTGATGAGGAGAAGATTGTGTCATCCACTGGTGCGTTGGCCTTGAAGGAAACTCCTAAGAAACTAGTTGTCATTGGAGCCGGATACATTGGCCTTGAGATGGGCTCTGTATGGGGCCGTCTTGGTTCTGAGGTGACTGTCGTTGAGTTTGCCCCGGAGATTGTCCCATCCTTGGATGGAGAAGTGCGCAAGCAGTTTCAGCGTTCTCTTGAGAAGCAAGGCATGAAGTTCATTCTCAAAACAAAGGTTGTAGGGGTTGATACTTCAAGCGGTGGTGTGAAGCTCACGCTTGAACCTGCTTCTGGTGGTGAGAAGACCATACTTGAAGCCGATGTCGTCCTTGTATCTGCTGGTAGAACCCCATTTACTGCTGGATTAGGCCTGGAAAAGATAGGGGTTGAAACTGACAAGGTGGGGCGGATTCTAGTTAATGACAGATTTGCTACAAACGTTCCTGGTGTTTATGCAATTGGGGATGTCATCCCTGGGCCGATGTTAGCCCACAAGGCCGAGGAGGATGGAGTTGCGTGTGTGGAGTTCATTGCTGGAAAGGTTGGCCACGTGGACTATGACAAAGTCCCCGGTGTTGTCTACACGCACCCTGAGGTTGCGTCAGTTGGGAAGACCGAGGAGCAAGTGAAAGCACTTGGTGTCGCCTACTGCATTGGGAAGTTCCCTCTCTTGGCTAACAGCAGGGCCAAAGCAATTGATGATGCTGAAGGGTTTGTCAAGATCATAGCCGAGAAGGAAACTGACAAGATATTGGGAGTTCATATAATGGCGCCCAATGCCGGAGAGCTCATCCACGAGGCGGCCATAGCCTTGCAGTATGATGCTGCTAGTGAAGATATTGCACGTGTATGCCACGCGCACCCGACGATGAGCGAGGCACTGAAGGAAGCTGCCATGGCTACCTATGACAAGCCCATTCACATCTAGAAAAGAAAACGAAAACAAATTTTAATTATTTCATCTTGTCATTTTTGTTTTAGAATTTTGGAATGACTTGTGGCTAAGACTTTCCATGTTCAGGCTTCTCCTGTTATTATAGTTGGCTGATCAAGTGCTTTTGAATACAAATTTGCCTTCTTGATTTCCTCTTCGGTCAGGATGAGGGAATAACTTTTGTATGAATTTTCATCCGAGTGTTAATAACAACATAAGAAACGACTATGTTGGAGCTGATAGATTATTGTGTCTTGTTTACTCATGGCAATTTCATTTACTTTGTTCATATAATTTGTTTTAAGGTTTTTGGCAGTAATGGTTTTGAACAATTGTTCTGATTAAAGACTAATAGTACTAAAATACACACACACACACACACACACAGAGACAGAGAACAGTTGTTCTGATTAAAGACTAATAGGTTTTTGGCAGTAATGGTTTTGAACAATTGTTCTGATTAAAGACTAATAGTACTAAAATACACACACACACACACACACACAGAGACAGAGAACAGTTGTTCTGATTAAAGACTAATAGGTTTTTGGCAGTAATGGTTTTGAACAATTGTTCTGATTAAAGACTAATAGTACTAAAATACACACACACACACACACACAGAGACAGAGAACAATTGTTCTGATTAAAGACTAATAGAACACACACACACACACACACACACACACACACATCATACTTTTGTGTACATGATACAATAATCCGGGGTAAAATGCGTCCATCTTTTATTATCACAAAAATATGTCGGTTTGTATAAGAGGCTTTTTCCCACACACACACATGATACTTTTGTGTACATGATACAATAATCCGGGGTAAAATGCGTCCATCTTTTATTATCACAAAAATATGTCGGTTTGTATGAGAGGCTTTTTCCCTTTCTTTTGCTCATCAATCGAGCCTGCGTCCATTTTTTATTATCACAAAAATATGTCGGTTTGTATAAGAGGCTTTTTCCCTTTCTTTTGCTCATCAGTCGAGCCTCTCATTTTTTTTTTTCCTTTTGTTTTTCCCTCTTTTTCGGGTAAATAAGTTCTCATCAATATCGAGCCAATTACTAATTTGTATATTAGCATATTGACTAAGCCAGAGTAAAAAACGACACAATAAAGAGAATGGGAGAGAGAAATTTAAAAAAAAAAAAAGCTTATTTACTAAATTTCATGGAAGAAAGAGATAATCCTACAAAGTAAAAACTTGACCAAGGAGATATAACCTCTCCTCTCTTTACAGTGAATCCTCTGAAACCATAAACTACATATCTAATCTCACTAACAAAAACAATGCATAGTATATGCCTTTTAACGGCACTGATTGACGCTCATTTTCACTTTGCACGACACTTGATAGAATTTTTAGTAACTTCCATTTGTCTCTTAAGTTGGCTTCCACATCTCTCCAACAGTAATAAGCAAAGTCAAAAACACCATTAAGTTATGGGTCCTCCCGCATATCCGGCCTCCTCTTGGCTTGCAGGGCGAGCCGCACATCTCTCTCCCGCTCAAACTCCCTGTAATCCGTCCGCTGCAAGAAAGAAACCTTTTCCAAATACTGATTGGAACTCTTCTTGTAAGCATCCAACTCGTCTTCCAACCCTTGGTTTTCTTCCTTAAACTCCCCCCAATCCATTTTAGTCTTGTCCAGCACACTGAGCTTCTGTTTCTTCTTGATTTGCTCAAGTACTGCATCAACAGCAGAAGGCGCTGTGACTTTGGCCTTCTCCAATGCCTCCTTCGATTCAGCATCAACTAGCTTCTTAACTTCGATGTCTTGACCTGCAAAGTCTCGAACCTCTGTGATCTGTAACAGGAAAGGAACACAGAATATGATCGTCACATTCTCCAGAAAATTGAACCGAAACTACAAAACCAAAAACTAAACGAAAATGTTATTCATCACCATTTGGTAAGGCAGTTGCTACAAATATCTTGGTACATTAAAACTGCCACATAGCAGAGTTGGTGACGCAGCGGAAAGGATAAAACTGGATTTTACCGGCCTAACCCGAACGGAGGATTCTCTTGTTTATAATTGTCAAATATTCAAGTCTCCTTAATACAATAGTTAAGAGGCTATTTATAGTCCACCTATGAAACGATAACAAAACAACAACTAAGATAAATGACTACTAATAACAAACCAAAGCTAAATTAGAAAGCTAGAACAAACGACAATAAAATATAAAAAACGACTTTTATGAGTAAGACCTACATCAGTTGGACCCAATTCTTTACTCTTTGCCATGTTACCGTAACTGTTGACAGACACGTGTGGTGATGAATAGTAGTGCTAAAGTTTGTCAACAATCGCTTAAAGTCTAGACCACCATGATTCTCAAAGGCATCGGCTGTGTGTTTGTGAACGAGGACATTAAAGGAGATAAAAATTAATAAAAAGTCAATTGTTCATACCTCAACTTTTCCCCTGCCTGATGCAGAAGCTGCAGCTTCCTTAACTGCCGAGAGAGCAGCAGCAGCAAGCCTCTTGGCTTCATCACTGGAAGTGCTCGGCAGCATTGTTATAGGTTCCTTCTTGGGAACATCTTTACCAGGGGACACTGCGGCTTTTGATCCGAGACCTAGATATGTCATCCAATTCTATGGGGAAAAACAAAACAAAATAAGCATTAGACTCTATCAGACTATCTTTATGTCCCAAATAACCTAAAAAGACAAAGTGGGAAAGAAGGAAAAAGTCCTCACAGAGGATGACTTTTGTGGAGGCTTTTTCACAGTTGAACTCGGCTTACTAGGCTTCTTTAACAAATCGTTCAGTGTCTTTTTGGAGATTCCTTTGTTCATTTGCTCCCACACAGCATCAACCCGAGCTTTTATTTCTAAAACACAGCCAAAAGAATAGCACATTGATCTCCCAATTCTTCATTGTGTTAATAACTAGACATAGCCACTCTAGCATAGAAATAATTAGAACCCAACCAAGCGCTTCTCGTGAGAATAAGAGCTTGTTTGGTCGGAGCGAAAAATGGAGGAAGAGATATGAAGCAGGAAATTAGTGGAAATATTCTTCATTTTCTTGCATCCCTATACAAACAAGAAAGTTATTTATTTATTTGTTTTCCTTCCTCTCATACCAAACACAAGAAGAGAAAGAACCTCACCATTCCCTCACCTGGATTATCTACCTTTATCCTCTTCCTATGTTCTCTCCTTACAAAAAAAGACCTAAAAATGATCCAAATTCTCACCACTTTCTTTAGTCTTTGCCTCTGAGCTTGAAGTAGGATCAGCTTTGATAGGCTCATTTGGTTTACCATCAACTCCACTGAAAGAACCTGAAACATAAAACACATAATTCCATTTTATGTTAACAAAAGCACAATAATCATAGTGCCCATTAAGGCTGACTAGTCTATAGTGCATGACCCATATTAAAAAAAGAAAAAAACCACTCTCCTATAATCCATTATCTACCACAAACAAAAGTAACAGAAGTACTAAAAACTGTTCTGAATCTAAACTGCACAGAAGCTAAGTTTATATGAAAACAAGAGAAGTACCAAAACTAACTGATTCAGCTTAAAAGAGAGAGAAAACAATTTATACAGAAAGAAGAATAGGCAAAAGTCTTAAATTTTGTCCCTAAAAAAAAAAAAGTCTTAAACTTTACGGTAAAAAAAAATGCAAACAAGGACCTGGTCTGGGTATGTGAAATCAGTATAGAAAACTTCAAAAGAAAATTGAAAAAACAAAGAGAGCGACACTTAAGGAGGTTCAGTCGTTCTCCAGAAAAGATGGGTTTTTTATGGGCTTCTTTAAAAACCCACCAATTAAATTATCCACAAATTGGAGAAAACGGTACGGAAAAACAAATAATTACTCTTTTTTTTTTTTTTTCCTACTGAAACATATTACTTTCCAAGGAAACAAACAGACCAAACCCATGATAGCTAAATCTAGAAGCAAAATCAGAAAAATAATAAGAAAAAGAAAAAAATAGGAATATAATAAATGCGTACCGGAAGCATCGAGACCGCTGGCAGTGGCCATGGAAACTCGAGGGAAGTGCGATCAACAGAGCTCTGTCGAAGAAGAAGAAGAAGAAAAGGAGTTTCGTTTCTCAGATAAAGCACGAGTATTTTAAAGGCCCGTTAATGTCGAAAACGTCGTCGTTTCTTTCTTCTTTTTTTTTTTCGCTTTAACTATATTGGCATTTGAAAGCCATGTGTTTTGTCAATGTGACAAAGAGACCCCTTAACCCCAATGTTTCACGTTAACATCCCTGGAGATTTCCCTACGTCAAATGGGCTTTTATTTCATAAATGCCTCTAAACTTTATATTTTGTTTTTATCATACCCTTTTAACTTTTGAAAAAGGTATATTTCGCCTTTAAATTATGTACATGACTCATTTTATTAATAAAACTAACAAATGGTGTCACACTAATTATATTTTTATAAATGCCCTCCTAATGTCACACGTGTCAACTTATCATGTTATTTTGAAAAATCGAGGGATAAATTGATAAAAAAAAATCAATAATTTAAAGGATATTTATAAAATACAACCAACAGCAATCAAAAATAAAAATTTGATTCACACCAAATTTCCCACCAAATATAGGAGTTTGGAAAACTCTAAAATCCCAATAAAACTCAATGATAACACGGTTTATTTTAGAGGAAAAAAAACAAAAAAGATATAAATAAAAGTAAAAGGAAAAAAGTGATTGAAAAAAGTATTACTAGATTTTTACTTCTTTAGGACCTGTTTAGTTCGTTGATTCGAGTTTTTAATTCGAGTTGAAATGTGAGCTTTTTATTATAGTAAAAAAAAATAATAATAAAAAAATAAATGACTGCTTCTGATAACTTTTTACTATAACAAAACTCAAATTCTAAATTCAAATCAGTGAAATGAACGAGACCTTAATTTCTGTTCAAATTTTAAGTTTAACTCTTGCCCCAGGATTATTTCTTTTTTTTTTTTTACTCCGCAGTCTCACCTTTTCTTTTTTAAATTTGTAAAAACACGTGGATTTTCCTCATTCCTAAGAGGGTGGATTGGAGAATTTGATAAAACACACATCAAATATTTTTGCACATTTTCCTCTCTTTTTTTGTTTTTTTTTTTTTTGTTTTATTTCTTTCCTCATTCTCCAATTCCCTTTACCTAGATTATCTACTCCTCCCTTCTACCAAACAAGGCCTTTCAAGTCTCATTCTTCCTATTTGCCTTAAACCCCCCTCTATTTTCCTTTATTTCCCAGCAAACACCCTCATACCTCATTTCCACTAAAAAAAAATCGCTCTATGTCTTTCTTTACTCACTTTTCCATCCCAGCAAACAGAGTTAAGTCTTACTAATGTGGTTAATGATTATCGTTTTTGAACCGAGGGTGATAGGTTTCAATCTTATACATCTTGATATTGCAGATGGGTATTGATTTACCACTAAATTAAGCCTACAACCATGAGATGTTAATGATTATGAAGTTGAGAGGTCAAGGAAATGCCATACTAAGGGCAATTAGGTTTAGAAATAGAGCTGAAAGATGTGCCCCGAGAGCAATAGGTGATTTAAAATCTCTTAGGCTATTTGTTCAAATTGATTTGATGTTGCCAAATATCAGTAATACATTTTTTTTTTTTTCATAAAAAAGAAAAGTTACACTCAGCTAAACTAGACTTGCCCTTCGAAATAAATCATTTGTATTTAAAAATGTAGTATATAAGCAGTTATAATGATAAGCATATGTTCTCATTTAGCAAACCATATTGCGAGTCTTGAGATGCATGTATCCATACGCCGTAGAGAAGTTTGTATATTTAGATATGAAAAATGCAATTAATCACCATTAGTGATCAACACATCAAAATTGTCGGATAGCAGTGTGAGACCTAAAATAAAGTGGAAAAACAGAGAAACACATGGAGATGCAAGCATAGCATTGAACATTCAAGCATATTCTCACTTCCATTATTGAATACCCAACAAAATAGACCAACACCAAACACTCCTCTTGCACAGCAAATTAAAAGTCCCATCCAGAGAAATATGATGACTCAAAGACACACCATTATGGGTAATTAACTTTTACAATTCAGGAGAGTACTACTTTTGTAGGTTTGTAGTCAACGACAATAACTTTGTCCAAATGGGATAAGAACAAATTTGCAAATTCAACATGGACTGGATGAGCCACATACTCTGCAAGCCCCTCAGTACTCTCAAAAGTAGACTCAAATATATGAGTGAATCCTTGATGCAGATTCTCAATGCTCACATCCTTTCCCCTGTAATCACATAATATACATATATACATATATATTGATGTTATTCTCATGAAGAGTCCATAGTTCATATGCATCATAAGGGTGAATAGTGTATAATATGTGTGTGTGTGTGTGTGTGTGTGTATATTAATATTATTCTCATGAAGTTACTAATAATAGTTTTCTATGTAAGTCCATAGTTCGTTCAATTGTGTAGTTGTTTTTCTCTAGACGGTTTGAAGTATAGACACATTTCTGCCATAAAGTTTAGTGGGTATGCAAAAATGATTCTTTATACACAAAAAAGATATTAATTCAACATAGTAAATCTTACCCACAATGAGAATCTGTTTAATTTCGAAGAAAAATGATTTTTTTTAATAATTTTAAAGATTAGATTAGTGTAAAAGAACTGAACCGACAGTATGCAAAAGGTCATATTTTGATTTAGATAATCAGATATGATTACAAAAGTGATTATTTATGCGAAAGCTTAGTCACTAATTGTGGACCTAGATCAGCAAATAGCCCGAAATTTACCAAGAAAGATCTAAGAACTTGAGTTCATAATAGAAGAGAGAGAGAGAGAGAGAGAGAGAGAGGGCGTTTCTAGTAATACGTAAAAGGTCGTATTTTGATTCAGATAATCAAATATACAAAATTGATTACTACTTGTTCATCTGCATATGTAAATGGTAATATCCCACTAAATTTTCCTGACAAAGATCTTAGAATTTGATTTGAGAAAGCAAAAACAAGAAACTTTAGAACAGGAGAGAAGAGAGAGACAAACCATTGAAAAGCCTTCATGGGTTCGATGAGATTGACGAGATTGGCATAACCCTTGATAAGCTTCTCAATCTCCTCTTCTGAAACTCCCTCCTTGAATTTTGCTAGAAGTACATGCTTTAGCACTCCCTTTACTTCTTCCATTCTCTCTCTCTCTCTCTTTCTCTCTCTCTCTCTCTCTCTCCCTCACACCCGAACTCAACTTGTAATTAAATACTTAAAATACCCCACGTGTTTTCGATACTTTTTTTTTTTTTTCATATTTTCCCCCTCTTAATTAAATATGTCTCTATTAAATTTAATTTCATGTAGAATTTATCACATCAAAAGTGCTCAAACAAGAAAATTTTTATTAAATGACTCGTTAATATAATTGTTCTCAAATGCATCTTTATCTACACAACCCTTTTAATAATTGTTATCTCATAAATATTTCTTTCTCCAATTTGCTCTTATTGAAGTAATATTTATTTCAAATGTGTCCAGGTTTGATCATTATTTTTATTGTAGCACTCTAAAATGCTTGATCTTCTTATGTACTCTCTAATAATTTTGCCACTAAAATGTTTATTACTCAAATATATTTTATGCGTGTCTATACGACTATACATGTATAATACTAGACCGAAACATATTGTGATTGAAACGTTCACTTCATCCATTCTATTAGATTTTTTTTCTTGTGAACTAAAAAATTATGAAAATGATAACCTAAAAAAAAAAAAAGAGTAAACTCTTCACAAAATTTTACATTTAAACAATAAATTAAATAGCTATGTGCGTAACACACGCATCCAATTAGTTAATATAGTATTAAGAGTTTATATTTTGAGAGTTTTTAATATTTTTCATATCCTTAGTTTTGCCCCTCCTAAATTAAAATCATAACTCCGCCATTGCGACTGAGATTATTTAGGTTTAATTGGAGAATTTGGCTAAAATAACCGAATAAAAAAGTAAAATTAAGAAAATGACTTTTTAATTTTAATTTTATTTATTTTATTTGAATAAATTATTAATTCCACAATGAGAAAAGAAAGAGAGGGAGATAAAACTGACCGGAAATGAGAAGGCGTTGATGGTGATGGGAGAGATCTTGGGTTTGTCGGCAACTAGGCGGCGACAACGACAATCCGCGGCGGCAGTGACAATCGAAGGCGGCGGAAGCTGGAATCGGAGCCTACGACGCTGAGAATCAGCGGCTAGAGAGAGAAGGAGCGAGAGAGAGGAAGAAAGGCGGAGGAATTTCTGGCAGAGATGCGGAGATGGCAAAGTGTTTCCGAAGAATGGGAAGAATGGCTTCTTCGGGAGAATGAATGTGAAGAAATCAAAAAAATTTGCTTTTTTTTTCATTTTTCTTTCTTCTCATAAAGTTATTTTGCAAATAAAAATTTTTGAATTGTCATTTTATGAATAAAGATTTTTTATTAGATTATTTTTACAAAGGCCTCGATTTAATTGCATAATTTCTTTTAATTTAATATAATTCCTTGTTTGATATGATGATTAAAAATTAATATTTATATACTCTACCACAGAATTTACTAAAAATATTATATGGCATTTTCATAAAATTATACGGTTAGATGTTTGTTGAGTTTTTTTTTTTTTTTTTTTTTTTTTTTTTTTTTATTAAAGAAGAGATCCGTTAAATTTGTGTATGACAACTGGCCACGTTAGACCTATCTTTTAATTGCATGTTGTGAGATTTGATGGCTCCTAAAGAATTTAAATTTCAAACGGAAAGGATTTGTGGACTCCGCTTGAAACGCGTTATTATCAAAGGAAAATAAAATCATAATAAATACCGACAACTGGCCACGTTAGACCCATCTTTTAATTGCGTGTTATGAGATTTGATTGCTCCTAAAGAATATTAATTTCAAACGGAAAGGATTTGTAAACTTCGTTTGAAGCACGTTATTATCAAAGGAAAATAAAATCATACTAAATACTAGACAACCATAATGACCATTAGAGCGTGTTTTATCGGCATTGCTTCTATTAATTAATCCATATCTCCATAGATGTCAATATTAGAGTTGCTGTATGATGATTATGATCGTTAGTTGTCGCTTCTACACTGCTGTCGTTTTTACATAATATGTTCTCAAATGCTGTCGTTTTCCGATATGATTAATTGTCGTTTTCTGAGATAATGTTTCTAAACTGTTGTCGTTTTCAAATGTCACGTTGCTTTCCAAGACATCTGTCATATATTTATATGATGCCGTTTTTTAAAATGATGTCGTCTTCTAAGCATTGGTGATCTCAAAATTCATGATGCCGCGTCAATCGACATGGTTCTTAGTCTCCCAATTATATTTGTACATTTTATTCATATACAAAAAAAAACAAAATACAAAAAAAGGCATGTTAGTACGTTTTATTCATTAAAAAAAAGGATGTTCGTAAATTTTGTATACCAATCCTTTTGTCATGTTTTGAAGTTTGGAATATATTGGACTAGAAGAGTGTACCTATCTATCTTTCATGGCTATTTGTGTTAAGCTTGTGGACTAGGGG